ACTAGGCCTTCAGGTACGTCGCCGACTTGCTCTTTCGCGACAGGCATGGCGGGGACTGTGATAATGCGCTGTTGTAAATGGGGTGTTTTCAATGTAGTAAAGAGAGTTATTAGGTGTTGGGAGTTACTGGGCGTCAGGGGCTGGAGAAATGGGTAGACAGCATTATGCTCACCTAGAAATGGTCCGTGCGCTGCTGCCTGCGCTAGCGCGAAAACGCGGAAATTACCCAAAATGATCAACACATCGATGATTCCTTCATTTTTGGGCTGCACGCATGCGCGAGCTCGGCGTTTATCACAGCAGTTTAACACGTTTGTATGATATGCTCGCTACTGATTTTGCAACAGAAATGGTTGTATGCGATCGTGAAACAGCAAATTACGTCTACCGTCATTGCCAGGTCCGGGGCGCTGGCTGCCTTTACTAGTGCGGAAATCGGGAAATTGCCGTCGCCCAAACTTTCCAGCTACCTAACTCTTTCAGCCTACTACTTTCTTAATTGTCGACCACATTTATCACAGTAATTAATCACATACGTCGCCTACGTTCATCATCTACTCTACTACGCAATGGCAAGGACAAAACCACGGCCTAAGGTCACCGGTAAAGCCGGCCGGGGTGGTCCTGATGGCAAGACAGTTACTGGCGGCAAGCCGGCTCAGAAGGCCCTTGCTAGTAAGGCTAGACGTCAAGTAGCAGGAAAGTCTACGCGAAAGGCACCTGTAGCTGTTAAGAAGAAGCGCAAGTTTAAGGCCGGCAGTAGGTTATCACAGTCGTTTATCACAGCTATTTTCTAATTTAGCTTAGCTGTCGCATTACGGGAAATCAAGAGATACCAGAGAGGTTTTGAACTACTCTTGCGAAAACTCCCCTTTTCCCGCGTAGTGCGCGAATTTGCACAGGTGCACAAGGCCGATATCCGCTTTCAACGATCTGCAATCGAAGCTCTTCAGGAAGCTACAGAAGCTTTCTTAGTTGGTTATTTTGAGGGTATAGTCTATCTACCCTATACTATTTTTCATTTAATAACTTTTATAGACTGCAACATCAATGCTATTCACGCAAAGAGGGTTACTATTCAAGAGAAGGATTCTCAATTGGCTAGGCGCTACTTTGCGCGCGAGTTACTAGCTTTTCTCTAGATTATAAGATATATCTAGATACACGTGCTTAAATGCTAGCTGGCGAAGCCTCTGTATATTATAAATGAAACTAGTTAATGCTACACTGTGTTAATCTACTGTGATACTATATAAACTTTTCTTTTATTGAAATCTATATTATACATCTTGCAATTTTTTTACTATAACCCAACCCTAACCCATGGTCCGTGCGACCCCAACCCAACCCCAACCCAACCCTAAGCTTGGCGCTGACAAATGGGTTGGGGTTGGGTTGGGGTCGCAAAATTTCTAACCCAACCCCAACCACACCCCGACCCATTTGCCAGCGTACCCTGTTCGCCAAGGTGGGCAAGGACTTTTGAAAGGCACCTCCGTACCGCCAGCGGTGACTTGTGACGCGTATTGCACCGAGATATCATCGAAAATCTCACCAAGCGGCGATCAGCCGTGGGGAAGTGGGTTTCAAACAAAACAAGCTATGGAGACTATTGCCTATTACTATATACAGAGATATTATACTGGTCTCCCTGCTCTGACTGCTCCTGGAGAGCACAAAAGGCGGTTATACTCCAGTGCTCTGCTGCAGCCTTCGCCTACGGAGCTGTAGTAGAATCCTTTTCACCGGCGGTAATGATCGTAAGATAGCGCCGATTGGTTGTAACACAGGTATCCTGGCACTGAGGGAGTCACGTTAGGTTAGGGCTTACCTCAGTTCGTCACTTCTTTCGAGAGAACACAAAAGTAAGGCTTGTCACCATCATCCTCTTTATCTCGATACTCCACACCTTAATACTACACATCTTAATAATATATCATTTTCTCGTATCGATAATGAAGCTCTCATCTGTTATTACACTTTGCTGTGCTTCAGTTGCACTAGGGGCCGGGTGTCACCGCCCTAGGCCGTGTATAAACGGGGTTCGCATTCGCATCCATTCTTATGTTTGATCTAATACATACTAACCACATTGTAGAACTGCATTCCGCAATGGGAATCCAATTGTACAAATCTCTGGGAAGTTTTCAAAATGGAACCGTGTAGAAAACTCAAAGCACCGAGTGGAACGTGTCGCAGTGGCAGATGCGTAAGAAGCCATACTTGCTCATATTGTAATAATTGCTAATCAAACTGGGCTTGTTTCAGGAGGGTTGCCAATGGGATGGCATCTTGGAACGCTGTACGTATTGCGATATCCGATGCTGTTAAGACAAGAGTGTGGGTCTTACGGGCGACGATATGATTTGCATTTTTTATAAACAGACAAAGGAACCAGTTGGATTGGGATGCCGCAGTTGAATCGAATTTGGTGGCCGTTGGTGGATTATTATCTGTTTGGATTTTGTATGCCGAGGGACGTCCACAGATGAAGCTTAATCAATACGTGTTCAACGCACTTTTAGACTTCATCTATGTTCACAAGTGTACATTATTGTGTATGGTTTGTTCCACTAGACTCTGTAACACGTATGCTCTCGCGGACTCAAAAGCCCCTTCACAATGACTCGCATCGTCAATTTTCGACTGCAAGCGTTATACTTTGATTCACCCGAACACTCGGCACATAATTGAGTGTTTTTTTTGTTTTGTAAACGCCATATCTTCGTCGATTTTCTATTTTGAGACCAACGCAAAACCCACGTCTGAATACTGCCTTGCAATTTCCATGTCTTGCTTCTGATCTGTTTTTAATTCGCGCCCTCTCACGCCACCACGCATATCCTTCTGCGCGAATTTTCATCACAGTCTTCCATCATAAATTTTTGAAAGGTGGAAGGTAGAAACATGGTAGGATGATGTAAGTATTTTGATTAGAAAGGTTTTAAGTCTGGGAGACGTAAAGAAGGAAGGAAGGGGTGAAGTCTTTTTGTACGCTAAAACAACCAGGGACATGTAGGAGTCGAGGTATTGGTTTAGATCACCCCCGAACCTCCCATAGCCACTTGAGATGCTCAATTTGATCGTCCGAATTTATAAAGAGGGGACACTCGATTCCATGATGGGCTTACGACCACTTTTCAGAAACAAACCAGCCCCAACAATCCACCCAAAGACATCGGTTCCTAGAGATGCTGTTTCGATAAAGGACTTGCCAAAGTCCCAGGAAGAAAGCGAGAACCAACTCCACATGCCCCTTTCTAGTATCAGTTTTTTACTTTGGAAAAACCCCGAACAAACCCCCCACAAGCACATGGTCTGCGAGAGACGCCTTTTCGAACTCAGAATCGCCCAAGTCATATGGCGTATGCCGTCGACTTTTTGAAACAACACTCACACAGACAGACATATGTCTAGTCAAGCAGGGGAAATAATCATCACAATCTTCGCCCTCAAGTCTCCAATTTTAAGGGAGAAACAGAGGAAACGCACTCCATCTGACTTTGTAGTAGCTGATTTTGGAATAGAAAGACACAATTTTCATTCAAAAAAAACAGAGGGAAAGCACTCCATCAGTTCTTCTGATTTATGGTTTTAGAATAGCAGGACGTAATGTTTTAGGGAGAAAGAAACCGAGAAGAACAGACTCCAAGGAAACAAAAGTCGTTTGAAAGTAAGAAGAAGGGCACTAGGAGCAGAAACCCCACACATTGAATCGACACCGGGTTGATTTTTGATTTTTCGGGAATTTCGAAAAGACACAAACAGGTCACCCCATGGCCCAGAGCAGTTTGAACTTTGGAGAAAAAAGAGCAAATGTGTAATGTAAGGAAGAGAAAGAAGAAGAGAGAGACAGACTACTTATACAGAACTAGCGAGGTCCGTGCTTCCACTCCACCAGAGAGAGTGAGAGCCCGTAGTACTCGAAAACTAATGATAAAAACGAAACCGAGATTTAGAAATGATTGAACAATCCATGTTCTATGCTGTATCCAGGGACATGCCATCCCGACATCAGCCGCTCACACATTCCGAGACGCCATTCTATCCCTCCGTATCCAGTGCCTACTTCTTCGCCCTAGCCTTTGACTTACTTCTCGTGTTCCTACTCGGTGGTGGAGTGTCTTCCTCACTCTGCGGCGCGACGTCCACGCCTGAGCTTTCATCTGCACCTACTACCCCACTATCATCCTCTGTCTCGCGGTTGTCCGAGTCGATGCCTCCGTCAACACTGCGCTCCCTGACCTCATCTTTCGCTTTGCGCTCAGCCTCCCAGCCTTTGACTAGACGTGTAATGTCATCTTCGCGACACTTCTCCTTGCCGTTCCATGCACTACAACCCCCGCATCGCCATCGACCGACATCTTCAAGTGTACGCGCACCGGGGGGTGCTTGGCCGTTGACGAGTCTGCATTCGGAGCAGATCAAGGCGAACCGGTTCTTAGCCTGAGTTTCGTCTTCTCCGAGAAGAGCGTCGAGGATGCGGTCGTACCAGTGGCTTTCTGTAAAGGTAACGGGTTCGGTGGCAGAGTGCTGCTTGGTCAGGTCCGCGCCAAAGGCGTTTGGTGCGAATTCAGGTGCTGGGCTTCCGTCTGGGGGGAACTGTACTGGCGGTGCTAGGCCTGGTGGTGCCAAACCCTGGGGTGCTGAGGCATTCGTAGGCGCCCGTTGCGGGGTAGTTGGAATCGGCTGTGTCGTGGGTCGCTGGATGTTGGCTGTAGGTGGTGGAGGCACGCCGGTACGTGGACCTGAGGCCGACGCTGGCCTCTGAAGGCCTTGCGACTTCCTGCGATCAGGCGAGTCGTCCTGTGGCTCCTCCTTTAGTTTTGGCGACGCGCCGTACTTTTCAAGGAGCTGCTGGGTCGAGTTGTACTTGGTCGCCTCCTTTAGTCGCTCGATGGTAGCGTCGCGTTCCTTGTTCAGCTTCTTGAGGTACAGCTCGGTGTTACGAATACGGTAGTCGAAGTAGCTCATGAGCGCGTAGCGTAGGCCGTAGATACTGGAATTATTAGGAGGCGATTACATGATCCAGTCCACGACACGACATACACGACAGGTCCGCCAGCGACAATGCTGCCTTCGATAGGGCCCCAGTTTCGCCAGCCAGTCACCAGGGTGAGCATCACGGCGGCCAGAATGTAGGCAAAGCCGGCATAGAGCGTCCACATGACGCGTGCGCGCCTTGAAAGTTGCTTCTGGTTGTCATTTCGCGCAGCGGCTCTGTTGATCTTGCCGGTGAGGGCGTTGAGCGTCCTCTCAAAAGACGCGGCATCTTCGCTGCCCTGACTTGGTTAGCAATTGTAGTTGACACGTCATTTGGGCGGTGCGCACCTTGAAGGGCCAGAACGAGACCATTTTTGCTCCGTGGTAGATCGCAGCCCGGCGGGGGAGCTATAATTCTACCGTTGAGGCCACCGAAGCATGCTCTTGTTTGTGGACCTTTTGAAGCATGCGCGACGTCAGCGGGCAGCCGTGCAGCTGTTAGATCGCCGACAGGGATGCTCAACGGCAAGAACGCTGTCACGTGGACCAACTTTCTCTGGCAGACTCCCGAACACAATCCAGATCTCAACACCGCCCACCCATTACTACACCGCTGATTCCACAAATATGGCACTAGTAGCATACCGCAATCTGCTGCGGTCAGCGCGCATTGCTTTCCAAGGTAATACACAGCACTTGGTCCATGTCTCGCACATGCTCACTTTAGTAGGCGACATGAACACCCTTTTCGCCGCCCGCGCAGAGACCCGCAAGCACTTTGAGGAGAACCGCAACCTACGGGTTGGAAGTGAAGAGCTAGAAAGTGCACTGGTACATGCCAAGGACGTAGCAAAGTTTCTGCGAGAGAATGTGGTTCAAGGACAAGCAGAGGACGAGGACAAATACAGTATGCATATCGCTGTTATGGCATCATGTCAATTAGCTGACATTGCACAGAGCTACGGATTCACGAGTACACTGAACGAGGAGACAATGAGGATATCAAAAAAGGAAAGGGAAAGAGTACATTAGGCGGAACTAAATGCTGTTCCTCCTAGGCTTTTATCCACAAGAAAATGAATCGTGATACCCATGCTGCAGTCCACGCAACACAAAACGCCGGCCCAATGCAAGTGTTACCAAACTAGTTGCCTTCCAAACTGGCATACTTCACATCGTCGTCCTCTCCTGGTGGAGGCGCAACAATCATGCTGTCCAAGCTGTTCTGTGGAGCAGCCTGGATAGCAGCTTGAGTAGCCGCAGCCCGTCGGGATGAACCCGCTACCTGTCGTCCCTCCTTTGCGTATTGCATCCTAACATTCTGATCCAAGCTGTCCAACTGCTTCGGCTTGCCCCAAGTGACCCGCATTGGGCAGCCCTTGATGACAACCTTGCCCTTCAGTGTTTCTGCCGCAGTCTCTGCGTCTTTCCTGTTGACATAATTGACGTATGCGCAATGCGCGCGATGTGAGCAGACCAGCGACCTGAGCTGACCATATTGTGTAAAGTGTTTGCGGAGTTCGTGCTCGGGCAGATCGTCTTCAACACCAGTGACGAAGAGTGATGCGACGTTGGAATCGGAAGGCGGAAGCCAGTCTTGCGGGTTCGGCTCAGCCGATGGACCACCCATACGACCTCCTCTGCCAGGTCGCATGCTTCCTCGTGTCGGAGTGCCCCTCGTGTCCCGAGTCCTAATGGGCCCTGGAACATGTCCACCTTCACTGCTCCCACCACCGCTCCCACCTGGGGCTGGTAGTGCCTTTTGCCCGCTCTCTTCGCCGTCTGCCTCTATCCGTCGCTGCTTCTTGTAGTAGGGCTCACTCTGTGCCAAGCGCTTGAGCAGGTCGCGCGCCTTTTCATCCGTCTTCTCATACGCCTCCATAGCTCCGCGTCCCTCTTCAATCTCCTTCTCGTGCTCTTGCGCATAAAACTGTCGGTTGATGTCGCTCTGGGGTCCAGGTGCCACCATCTTCAGCGCCGCATCACGGACAACGATGGGAAGACCGAATGAAAGATCCAGCATGCAGTGCTGGCAGCAGTTCTTGAGGCGGGCGCATGTCAGGCAGATGTTTGTTCGCTTCTGTCGGGCGGTGCGGTCGGCTTTCCAGCGAAAGATGGTAAAAGGTCGCGTACAGATTTTACATTCAGCACCATAGTCCTCCTTGAGCATCTGCACATACGGGTTGTCCGGTAGGCATTTCTCGCAGACGGACGGAAAATCCGTCGTCTCCCAGCCGCTACGGTTCAAGTCGGTCTTGATTTGGGGCGGCATGATGAAGGTGGAATGTGCAGTCTGTCGTCAAGGATACCAGGGGTGGGCGTCGCAAATTACCTCGGCGACTTGGATGAGCGTATCGGTAGCGGTTGAATACGCTGCAGTGGGGCGTGGTGGTGGTTGCGACGGCAAGTAGTGATGAGGTGAGTGACGCTAGAAATCTCCAGGTAGCGGACTGCGGCTTGGCTTTCACGCGCTCGGGTGGCAACCGCTAGCTCCGTCGACCAGGGCCGCGTACAGAGTAAGCTGTGATTGGACCAAGCGTGAATCCCCCCTTTGAATTTGTCCAAATCTCCCTATCCATACCGCTATTTCTCTCCATGGTTACCGTCTGTTGTTCTTATAAAGTTTCAGGGTCCTCGTCTTTACAATTGCTTCTCCCACATCCGCTTCATTCACTTCGCCCTTACACAGTCTTTATACCACTTCTAATATCAATCATGTCTCCCGTTGCTCTCGAACAAGAGGACCACACTCGCGATGCCGAGTTCAACAAGGCCATGCACGGCAAGTCTGCAAAGGCTCGTGGTGGCATGACTGCCATGCTTCAAAAGGACAAGGCCGCACAGCAAGCCGCTGTGGACGAGTACTTCAAGCATTGGGACAACAAAGCGGCTGCGGATGAGACCGAGGAGACACGCAAGGTATACAACATGTGGCAGTTTGGCCGTCTTACATACTAACATGTCCAGGCACGACGAGACGAATACGCTACTCTGACCCGCCACTACTACAACTTGGCCACCGACCTCTACGAATACGGCTGGGGCCAGTCTTTCCACTTCTGCCGCTACGCCTACGGCGAGTCTTTCTACAAGGCCATTGCCCGTCACGAGCACTACCTCGCCCACAAGATGAACCTCCAGGACAACATGCGTGTGTTGGACGTTGGCTGCGGTGTCGGTGGACCAGCCCGTGAGATTGTCAAGTTCGCTGGTGTCAACGTCGTTGGATTGAACAACAACGACTACCAGATTGAGCGTGCCACTGCCTATGCTGAGAAGGAGGGTCTGTCAGACAAGCTCAAGTTCGTCAAGGGTGACTTTATGGTAAGCATCATCAAACCTCCTTTCTGTTCCTCAACTGACTCACAACTAGCAAATGTCTTTCCCCGACAACTCTTTCGATGCTGTCTACGCCATCGAGGCCACTGTGCACGCACCATCCCTCGAGGGCATCTACAGCGAGATCTTCCGTGTTCTCAAGCCCGGCGGTGTCTTTGGCGTCTACGAGTGGCTCATGACGGACAAGTACGACAACGACAACCCCCACCATCGCGAGATCCGTCTCGGTATCGAGATTGGTGACGGTATCTCCAACATGGAGAAGATTGAAGTTGCGCTCAAGGCCATGGAGACTGCTGGTTTCATCATGGAGCACAACGAGGATCTTGCCGACAGGGACGACCCATACCCATGGTACTGGCCGCTCTCTGGCCAGCTGAAGTACATCAGCTCAATTGGCGACATCCCCCACCATCCTTCGAATGACAAAGGTCGGACGTGGAATCATCCACAAGTTCGTCGGTGGTCTTGAGATGATTGGTCTCGCACCCAGTGGCACCCAGAAGACGGCCGACAGTCTTGCTCTTGCAGGCGACTGCCTTGTTGCCGGAGGCAAGGAGAAGCTTTTCACACCCATGTACCTCATGGTCGGAAGGAAACCCGCCGACGCATAAGCCTTTATTCTTGCTTTCTCTTGCTTTAGACTTCTTTTCACATTTTTACCCTTTGGTCTTCCTCTTGGACGTAGGGAAGCTATATCCCGACATTTGCATCAACGCGCCATGAAGCGCGCATATACACTGTAATAATTAGTAGTAGGGCAAGGTCTGGGGCAGGTGACGGTAACGACAATGTGGCGCAAATAGAGAATGAAAGAAGTAATCTACCCAGCAATGTCTTATGTCGTGATATATCCAATGCACCATGGCTGAGATTGTTCCGAGAGGGTCGACATGTTCCGACGCACAGCATCGGGTGTTCTCGCTATGGATTTGGCCCCTGCACCGAAGCTGGATTGCTAGCGCGTCCAGGGCTCAACGACTTGCCCAAGTTCGCATCCCCGACCTCCGAAGAAATTGTCCAGCAGCCCCAGCACCAACATTTAGCCTCAGCGGCCATCACTCGCCCACGGCATACCCTCACCACACCTCCCACCACACACTCACCCCGCAATGGCTGCTTCCAGGCTTCTCCGACCGGCCTCCCGCCTCATTTCGTCGTCACGGCCTGCGCCCGCCTTCCGACCAGCTTTCCGCGCCGCTGCCCTCACACCGTCAATTGCAAGGAGAGGATATGCCTCGGGTCAGAAGGAGATGACTGTGCGAGAGGCGCTCAATGAGGCCATGGCCGAGGAGATGGAGAGGAACGACAAGGTTTTTGTGCTCGGAGAGGAAGTTGCGCAATACAACGGAGCGTACGTGCACATACCATAAGCGAGCGGGATGATATGACATGCGATAAGAAAGAGGAGGCTTCAATCGGGCAAGGAAATATCGCAGTCTATATACCGCAGGAATTTGTGAGCCGGTGCTAATTGGACTTGCAGTTACAAGGTCACCAAGGGCCTGCTCGACCGCTTCGGCGAGAAGAGGGTCATCGACTCTCCCATTACAGAATCTGGTTTCGCTGGTCTTACCGTCGGTGCTGCGCTCGCTGGTCTCCACCCCATTGTCAGTTATCTGCATTCTCCCCTTCAAAACATGCCTGACAGTGACCCAGTGCGAGTTCATGACCTTCAACTTCGCCATGCAGGCCATTGACCAGATCATCAACTCCGCCGCAAAGACACACTACATGTCCGGTGGTATCCAGCCCTGCAACATCACCTTCCGCGGTCCCAACGGTTTCGCTTCCGGTGTCGCTGCTCAGCATTCGCAAGATTACACTGCTTGGTACGGAAGCATTCCCGGACTCAAGGTTGTTTCGCCATACAGCGCAGAGGACGCCAAGGGTCTGCTAAAGGCTGCTATTCGTGACCCCAACCCGGTCGTCGTCTTGGAGAACGAGTAGGTTACACAATGGTTCAGCCGCAGTCAGGAAGCTAACATTGCCAGGCTTCTGTACGGTCTCTCTTTCCCCATGAGCGAGGAGGCTCAGCGTGACGACTTTGTCATTCCTGTAAGTACCCCCCCTCCTAAACCCCCACTTCACATACTAATGGAATTGCAGTTCGGAAAGGCCAAGATCGAGCGCCCCGGCAAGGACCTTACCATCGTCACCCTCTCCCGCTGCGTCGGCCAATCCCTGGTCGCTGCCGAACAACTCAAGTCCAAATACGGCGTTGAGGCTGAGGTCATCAACCTCCGCTCCATCAAGCCCCTCGATGTTGAGGCCATCGTCAAGTCGGTCAAGAAGACCGGCCACATGCTCTGCGTAGAATCTGGTTTCCCCTCTTTCGGTGTAGCCAGCGAAATCATGGCACTTACCTGCGAGTACGCATTCGACTACCTTGAGGCACCCCCTGCCAGGGTTACTGGTGCCGAGGTACCTACCCCCTACGCGCAGAAGTTGGAGGAGATGAGCTTCCCCACCGAGAGCTTGATTGTAGACTACGCCGCCAAGCTCCTCCGGGTATAAGGGAATGATGTGAGGATGAAAGTACGGTAACATGGTCGGCTTTAACGGCCCCGCTACTGAACTAAGTTTTATGGATATAACTGAGGTTTTATGTACGAAGGGGACTTGGATTTGTATGAACACACACGAGACCATTTCGACAGGAGGGGTGGCTACATGGGGCTAGTTTATTCCTGATTCCATGTATAAGTATGATATTGCAACTCTGATGATGATGCGCTGCTGTTGGAATGGTTTTTTGGCGTGAGCGTACTTTGCAGGGTGGTTTTGATCATGAGATGTATGTCTGCGACATTTTTTTCTCACATCGAGAGCATTCGATGTATATTCTGAGCCATAAGGGCGAAGAAAGACTCAACGCTGTAAAGGGCACTGACACTTATCCCAGTTTCATAGAGTGGTTGAGAGGATTTTGACTGGGAACATGAAGGGGTCAACGGTAGTTTTTCGGAAAGATTCGGTAGAATACAAGAGGAGAACCCACTACCTTCCCATCAAGTTTTCAGGAACAAACTTTCTTCGTCATACGTTCAGGAGGTTTTCTTTCTACTTTTTTAGCTACTTGCACACACTCCACAGACATGAATGGTTGTGGAGCGATTTTCAAGCCCCAGTGCAAGGAGAGAAACACATGCCCTCTTCTTCGATATGTTTCTAGCATAGTTTCAATTGCCAAGCCAACCTCCACATATATGGGTTTGTCTTTCCGTTTTTTAGAAACAAAGTGCTTCTCACAGCATGCTTGATATAACTGAATCTTTTTAATAGGGCCTGGTACTCGGAACATTTGAAGGTGCAAAATCTTCTTTAGTGTTTTTAAGGGGAAACAGAGAATGAGGGAGAAAGGTAGGAGGATAGAGGAGGTGAGTTTATATAGTCGGCTGGGCCATGGAAGTGGGATGGCGGGTAGAGAGGTGGGCAGAATGGTATGTAGAAAGGCGGCGAAAGTTTCAAACCAGCATGCTGGATGATCAGAGCATCTTTGGAACGGCAGCATGCATTTTAGTGATTTCCTTTTTTTCGGAACATGAGGATAGGGGTGTTGTTTTTGGTAATTCTAGAATGTCTGGGAAATTTAGGAAGGGGGGAGATGGATAGAGTGGTAAGCGTAAAAGGTTCTTTTATAGGTAGATCAGTATCCCGATGTACGGGCACACGCCAAACACATACAAAATCGATGATAGGGTTTTGGAAAGCTTCCATAGCTTGACTTTGGGGAGAAATTTGGAAAGCTCGCATCAGGAAGATGTAAGTAGTTTTTATTGCCGGCTTCTCAGGACATTGAAGATAATGTTTTCGATTTTGCTACCTCGCAGAGCCCAGGGGGCTTTTTGACTAAGTAGAAGAATAGGGAGAGCAGCGTATAAGACGTTTTTATACTCCAATTTCCCAACTACGCCACAAGTCTGGCAAGTTTCACGTAGATAAGTAACAACGTTTCCAGAAAATCTTTCATCCGTTCGATCCGTAATCTTTTTGAACGCTCATGAAGGCATCGTAATACCGTTTTAAAAGACCAGTTTCTCAGACCATTAACGATGTGGCGGTTGTATTTTCTGTAATCTAGAAAGTTGGGTCAAAGGAAAGCACATGAATATGTCGACGTTGAGTTATTAGAGAAACGCCCAGCAAGATTCATATCGACAGGATAATTATTTTTTAAAGACTGTCATGCGTAGATGTTCCCTAAATTTTATAACGGTCGCATCGAAGTGTAAGTTGGTATTTTTAAGTCTGGTTTCTCAGATCATGGAGCAGCTTCCATTTTGTTTCTGTATAGTCCTAGTTTTAGTGCAAGAAAAATATAGAAAGTGGATATCCTCTTCTCAACCCAAATAGACGCATTCCAAGGTCCCGAAAGCCTTTTTTTATAGGAAAACTTGTGATTTTAGGCCCACCACATGGGCTAGGTAAGCTGAGAATTCAACCCAGATTTCTCAGATCATCAACGAGAATCCAAACGATTTTAGTCCATTCCTCGGGAAGTTTTAGAAAGTACGTGGAAGAAGAATACGTATGAATATGGGTTTCATGTTATAGAAAGACGCCCAGCCACTCTTGTATAGATATAGGCATCTGTGTTCAAAGACTCTCATCTCTCTAAGAGCCAGCTGTTTTGGAAGAGCCGCATAGTACATAAACTTGAGGATTTTAATCTCTAGGAACATCCGTGTTGACACGGCAAAGGTGTCGAATACTAGCAGTCGTTGCAACGAACAAAGTGTATAGTATTTGATTAGTAGTGAGCAAGAGCTGGATGGAGAGATCTCCATATGTACGGTTGCGAGCTAAGCGGGAAGCTTGGTCTAACTAGTGGTCCAAGCTTCCGGCCCGGAAAAACTCGCCGGGCTGGCTGTACGCGCATGTTCCGACACTGGCTTTTCTTCTTTTTGTGACGGCGTACAGTCAGCTCCCAAGTACCCCGAATCTGCTACAATATCCTGCTCCTAGAAAAGTATCTAGTTTCCTATTCCGGCTAACGCAAATACATGCAACCCATTCATCCCTTGTGTGTGTGTGCATGTGTGTCCGTCTCAGTTCTCACCACAATCAATCGTGGGCTCGGTGCCATCGCTCGTAGGCTCGGTGCCTGTCTTGTTTGTAGGCTCGGTGCCTGTCTTGTCTGTAGGCTCGGTGCCTGTCTTGTTCGTAGGCTTGGTGCCTGGCTTGTTCGTAGGCTCGATGCCTGTGGTGTCGCGATTCACCCATCCCTGTACACGAAGTTCGAGCTCGTTGGTGTCAATGAGATGCTCTAAAGCAGAGTTGCTCGCTGCCTTTGTCATCGCATCTGCTGGGTTGTCTCTGCCGTCAATCCAGCGGATATCCATGAGATCGTTGCGCTCGTATGCCTCGCGCAATGCCATGATGTCTATCATGAGACGTTTCTCCTTAGTAGTGCCGAGTTTGACGAGACAGTCGTACAAGGATCGTGAATCCGTGCATGCGACAATAGAGACCTTAGGGAAAGACAGTCGGTCCATAATCATGTCAATCGTGGTGCCGATGGCCAGTGCAATGTCAACGCCATGTGCCATTGCATAGATCTCCGATGCTAGAACGCTCCTTGTGACGCGTTTGCATTTAGTGGAGGACCAGT